GGCAGTAGAAAAGCTCCACAGGAGTGCTCGAGTGGATTGTAGCAGTGGCAGTGAGCGGCGGCAAGTGCAGAAAGCAGAGGTTTAAGACCTGATCGGTGTTCTATGTTGAGTCCCCCGAGACATGCTCATTAAGTGAGTCTTTTTAAAGAAACCACGAACAGCAATGCAACGAAGTAAGTGAGAATACTTCACAGAGGAAGAAGGAGAGTGACTGGCAGAAAAGAGAGTGGAAACCCGCTGCAGGATTCACGTGATTCACCGAGGAAAAGTTCAAGTGCACCCCTTTTTATGATTCACCTTTTGGAGAAAAACACATGTGAAGATTGCCATCACCAGTGTACGACTAACCTGTGTTTGTGGTTAGTGTGTGTTATCCTGTTGACAGTGACAGTAGCGGCTGGGAAGATCACTGAATCCATGTTCATCTTCTGAGTCCACTATTCTTTGGTTCATCCATCCTATGAAGAAAAGAGAAACGAGTTGATTAATCGCTGTGAAGATAGAGTGAGTTTGCAGTGTCTGAAAGAGTGAACTAAACACGTGTGGAGATTTACAAGAGTGATTTATGCACGAGTGTGGTGAGATCAAACAACTGTGTTCTCTCTGAGTTCCTGACGGATGAAATTGATCCATAACTTTGAAGATTCTTTCGAATTGATCTGTCCCCTCAGCTGTGTCCAGGTCTCTGGGATTGTGTGTATGGTGCAGAGGAGAACAGCTCAATGCCCCTTTATTGTCACCGTTCATGAGCACTGTACCCCACGCCAAAGAAGGTCCAGCCTCCCTATTCCTCCCAACGGCGCCGTTCTAACCCACCCAGAACGAGAGCGAAGGCTGGTAAAGTACCCTGTTTCTGTCTTCGAAGCCACTGTCTGTCCCACGAGCTTATGCAACGAGTCTGACGACGAGGGAAGCCACTGTCTGTCCCACGACCTTATGCAACGAGTCTGACGACGAGAGAAGTCACTGTCTGTCCCACGAGCTTATGCAACGAGTCTGACGACGAGCGAAGCCACTGTCTGTCCCACGAGCTTATGCAACGAGTCTGACGACGAGAGAAGCCACTGCCTGTCCCACGAGCTTATTCAACGAGTCTGACGACGAGAGAAGTCACTGTCTGTCCCACGAGCTTATGCAACGAGTCTGATGACGAGAGAAGTCACTGTCTGTCCCACGAGCTTATGCAACGAGTCTGACGACGAGAGAAGTCACTGCCTGACCCACGAGCTTATTCAACGAGTCTGACGACGAGAGAAGTCACTGTCTGTCCCACGAGCTTATTCAACGAGTCTGACGACGAGAGAAGTCACTGTCTGTCCCACGAGCTTATTCAACGAGTCTGACGACGAGAGAAGTCACTGTCTGTCCCACGAGCTTATTCAACGAGTCTGACGACGAGAGAAGTCACTGTCTGTCCCACGAGCTTATTCAACGAGTCTGACGACGAGAGAAGTCACTGTCTGTCCCACGAGCTTATTCAACGAGTCTGACGACGAGAGAAGTCACTGTCTGTCCCACGAGCTTATTCAACGAGTCTGACGACGAGAGAAGTCACTGTCTGTCCCACGAGCTTATTCAACGAGTCTGCTGACGAGAGAAGTCACTGTCTGTCCCACGAGCTTATTTAACGAGTCTGACGACGAGAGAAGCCACTGTCTGTCCCACGAGCTTATTCAACGAGTCTGACGACGAGAGAAGCCACTGCCTGTCCCACGAGCTTATTCAACGAGTCTGACGACGAGAGAAGTCACTGTCTGTCCCACGAGCTTATTCAACGAGTCTGCTGACGAGAGAAGTCACTGTCTGTCCCACGAGCTTATTCAACGAGTCTGACGACGAGAGAAGTCACTGTCTGTCCCACGAGCTTATTCAACGAGTCTGACGACGAGAGAAGTCACTGTCTGTCCCACGAGCTTATTCAACGAGTCTGCTGACGAGAGAAGTCACTGTCTGTCCCACGAGCTTATTCAACGAGTCTGACGACGAGAAGTCACTGTCTGTCCCACGAGCTTATTCAACGAATCTGACGACAAGAAGAGCCACTGCCTGTCCCACGAGCTTATTCAACGAATCTGACGACAAGAAGAGCCACTGCCTATCCCACGAGCCACCAAGAGAGGGATATATTTTCCTGAAGAACGGAAGAGTGCCTACCAGCACTCCCCTCCCCATATCGCACCAAAGCCACAGCCACGAACGTCCCTGTCCCTGCTTTTATCCCTTTTTAATTTTAATAAAACCTTACCTTTTAAACTTACCTTGGTTGTCTGCCTCTGGTGTCTGCTCCTCCTGAGTGTGGTAAATAACCCTTGGCCTTAACATCGGTGACACCTACATCACCACATGTTGTTTAGGAGGGTTTCAAGAAAAATCATCCTCGCTCATCCAAGAACAAACTCCAGCAAATTCAGTTGTCAGACACGACTGGAACTTCAAACGTCACAGGGTTCTGTGGTCAGATGAAACAAACAAAAAAAAGAGCTATTTGGCAGCAAACACACTAGATGGGTTTGGTGCACACAATGATAAAAAGTACCCCATGTGTACAATTTTATAAACCGCTGGATCTTTCATGTTGTGGGCATATTTTTATGCTGTAGGTCCTGGACTTCTTGTTCAGATACATGGCATTGTGGATTCTATCAAATATCAACAGATTAAAAAATCAAAACCTGACGCCTTCTGCTAGAAATCTTACAATGGGCCGTGGTTGGATCTTCCATCAGGACAACGATCCAAAACAAACATCAAAATCAACACAAAAATTTGTTACGGAGCACAAAATGAAGCTTCTGCCATGATCGTCCCAGTTCCCTGACCTGATGAGTGGGCTGAACTGAAGAGAAGAAGCACCAACATGGATCTGGGAATCTGAAGGATCTGGAGAGATTCTGTATGGAGGAATGGTCTCTGATCTCTTGTCAGGTGTTCTCCAAACTCATCAGGCATTACAGGAGAAGACTCAGAGCTGTTATCTTGGCAAAAGGAGGTTGCAAAAAGTATTTAATAAAAGGGTGCCAATAATTGTGGCCAACGTGTTTTGGAGAAAAACATTTATTTCATAATGTGATTTCCCGACCCCCACCCCCACCCCCACTTTCAATTCTTTTACTTCAATGAAAGGTTCGAATTTTGCCAATTTTTGGAATGAAAGATCAAAAGGATAAACAATGCAGATTTATTTTTTACAGCCAGTTTTGATCATATTTACCAGGGGTGCCATCAATTCTGACCATGACTGTATCTGTTACGGTTCGTCAACGGTCAACACGGTGTTAGGAACACTTTTATCTTATAAATCACACTGTGATGTGAGTTTTTTTTTGTTTTGTTTTTTGGAAAATGTGAACTTGCAGGAAGTTTTCTTTGATGGGTAGGTTTAGGGTTAGGGGATATAATATAGTTTGTACAGTGTAAAAATCATTTTGTCTATGGAAAGTCCCCATAAAACTTGGGAACCCCACGTTTGTTTGTGCGTGCATGTGTGTGTGTGCATAAATGGCTAATTTGTTACCCAAGTGACTAACTAAATGCTGGAGCTATTGGGCCCAAGCCCCGATGGTGTGAGAACCCTATTGGAATTTATCCGTTTATTAGTTATTTTTATCCATAGAAGCCCAATAGATTTCTGCATTAAAAAAAACTGGATCATTACTGTTGCTAATGGCTGTTAATTTTTCAGTTCAATACATTTTTAATAAATGAATTGAATATTCATACTTTTAAAAATGTTTATTTACATATAGGCTGTGTTGGGAGCAAAGCCTGTTTGATCTGAGTGGAAAACTCCTGACGAATTTTAGTTTTAGTAATCATGCCTATTTTAAGTTTTCAAAGAGCAATAAGTTTTATCTTTGTCCGTTTTTAAAAGTAAGAAAATATTTACAGAGTGTGTAGATAAAGGCTATTGCTGTCTGTCAGATCTTTAGCATAATAGGTGCGATTCTGCCGGCATTTTTTTTTTTTTTTAATAAAATTCAATACCAGAGCCATCTGGCCCAAGGGCCTTCCCAGTAGGAAAGCCTATGATTGCACCAGGTATCTCTTGAATAGTCATTTCAGATTTCAGTGCTTCCTGATCTGCTTTACTTATATTTGGAAAGGGGAAGCTGATGGAAGGAAGACAGAAATTGCTGCAGGTTGAGTAGAGCTTGGATTCAAACAGTCCTTCATAAAACTGTCTTAAACAGTCAATGATATCCTTGGGGTTTCGTATTTTGCCTGCCTATTTCTTAATTGTATGACTTAATCTGCTGGCATCTGTTTTTTCCCCCACAGCTCAAAGTGTTTTTTCCTAACTTAATTAGAATATATCTTATTTTATTCATATTTGAGTGTCATTTTTTCACTTACTCGGGGCTGCTTTATCCTTGTATTTTTCATTACCTACAGGGATACTGCGGCTCACAGAATCCTATGTGACTTTACACTAATTAAGCACAGGGTAAACAATAACAACAATAAACATAAAACACAAAGCTAGTTTCTCCTGACTTTTTTTCTCCAAATGAAGCAGACTTTCTCATTCGTTTCCTATGGCTGGCCAATTTTGACTGAAATCAGCCAAAGTGTGATTTTTTTTTATGACCACTTAGACTCATCGAATGACTTTTTTTGGTCAGATTTAAAAAAAATAATAATAATAATAATTTCTATAAAAAATGTAAATGGTCAAAAATGACCGGAAATCTTTCAATCATTTCACAATGAATAAAATCATCAGCCAATTGTCATCCAGCCATCAAATGGTCAGTGCTATTTGGAAGCTTGTGTTTTTTGTGCTAAAAAGTTTCTGTTACCTTCAAACATCAAGGATGCTCTACAATCGTCCGTGCTAGACAGAAAACGTGACTTTAAAAGACATTTTCAAGGATCTACCATACTTCTATTTCAGATGTGTATTATGACAGTTAAGCCCACCTATTTTGACAACCTTGTATGGGTGTATGTTTGAATTTTTGATTCTTCATGTTTTTTGTCTCCTTTTATTTTAAACCTAGAGAGCATTTTTTCTCTCTGAGGCCTTTTTCCCTCCCGAGTCTTCATTAAGAGAGACCTTGGATCCAGCCTTCAAACTTCATGAGACTATTGCCAAGGTAAGACTATCCTCCTCCTTTCACTACAAAAGTGCATTAGTGATTATTTCGTTTGTTGTTGGCTGGCTGGTTTATCAGGTACTGCAGTGTTGAATGCCTATAACTGTCATTAGGATTTTGTTTTGAGTGGAAGTCTTTCTTGCTTAACTTTCAAGTGCTAATTGCACAGCTACACAAATCATAACTCAAGAGACAAATGCAGCGAGGAAACAAAACAAATAACTTCAAAAGTCATATTTTCTGGTTACTGGCAGCTTGTTTATGCTAAATCTTTTTCGCATTTTTCAAGTGTATGCGATAAACAAACCTTTTTCTTAGTCTTTGCTTTAATTCCTTTAAGATGTGAATTTTTAACCTGAACTCTCTGTTCTCAGAACTATATTATCTTGATAAATGTCTGCATTTTGATGTCTGAATGCAGGGTTAAAAGTTTGAATTTGTTTATTAATTTTAAAAGTTTATGTGTGATAATTTGTGCACTACATTAAAATAATGTAAAGAAAGATGTCACTTATCAATAGTAAAATGTGACTCTATAGAAAAATGTGTCTCATTAGAGGTAATTAGTGGGGGGGTTTTTTGGAAATTGATTAGATCACACAAAAAAAGGGCATTGCATACTAAAATGAATCCAGACTGAATACGGTTTGGCTAATAGCTATTTGGCTAATGGTTAATGTTATCCAGTAACTCATGCAGTCTAAACTAAGTAATTTGGGTAACACTTTATTTTAAGGTGCTTGTAATAAGCAGTAATTAACAGTTAATAAGACACTTATAAGACCTTATAAGGTGCATATAAGATGCATATAAGCATTAACTAATGATAATAAATAAATTAAATTAAATAATAAATTTCTCAAGTATTAATACATTGCACTTTTAGAACAGCCGAACAAACATAAATGGTAACACAAACTCCCAGTCCCTTAAAATTTGACCTTCCCAAGAGGGAGTTTCCCTGATCTCTTCAGGGCCTGGACCTTTAATTAACCCTTATATGAAGTAGTTAATGCTTATATGCATATTATATGCATCTTATAAGGTCTTATAAGTGTCTTATTAACTGTTAATTACTGCTTATTACAAGCACCTTAAAATAAAGTGTTACCGTAATTTGTTGCACAGAAAGAGGAAGTGAAGATAATGAAGTCAGCCTTTTTTTGATGTACTGATCAATCATTTACATTAAGATGAGGAATGTGTATGAAGAAAGTAAATTTCCATTTTGGAAAAGTCCATTTTGATTTCATGTTCCGTTTGCAAAGTTTTGCTCATTGGAGAGCTCATCCAGTCATCATATCAAGAAGTGGGTGTTCCAGACAGGTCAAAAATACAGTGACCCATGTCCGGTGCTCTCCTGGGTCACGTTATAAAACCCCAGCAGTGTTTCAATCCACAGACATTGATTGCATGGCTTCTGACAGCCTGTTCCCCACCCCTGCAGTCTGTAGAGGAAAAACACGCATGCTTGGATTCAACAACAAACCCTGTGAAAATGTTATTAAATATAGATGAAACAGGCTGGAGATAAACAATCTCTCTCTCTCTCTCTCTCTCTCTCTCTCTCTCTCTCTCTCTCTCTCTCTCTCTCTCTCTCTCTCTCTCTCTCTCTCTCTCTCTCTCTCTCTCTCTCTCTCTCTCTCTCTCTCTCTGCAAGTTATGGACGCAGCATTAACGGCAGAAAGAAATATGAGCATCATTAAAGTTCCTCATCACAGTCAAGGATATATTGTTCTGCACCATGAATTATTCAGGCCACTGGCAATGACACAAAGAGTTGTGGGACAACAACGAATGCTACTATAGATGAAAGGCTCTCAAAGTGTCCGTTCATTGTCTTGTCTCGTCCAACTACACATTCAAAAGAGTATATACAGGAACATTAGATATGGCGTCTGCAGAATCTGAGACGGTAAATATTTAGTGTGGTTTTGAATTCAGCGAGCAGATTTGGAAGTGTCAAAATATCATATTTCTCAGAACAAAATGGGCAGAAAGGTTGGGAAACTTCCCTGAATAACAAAACAAGATAGAGAGGGTAAGATCTCAGGCTTTGAGAAGCATTCAAAGACACACACACTCTCACACACTGGTGTCAGAAAAAGGGTAACAGTGTACAATAAAGTTCATTCGTTGAAAATTCATTCACATTTTCATTCGTCTTAATGCATTAAGTATCATGAACTAACAATCAAACTAAATTTGGTAATGCAAGTTTTTATTTATTTATTTTTGAATATAGATTATTAAATCTATATCTATACTATATTAAATTAGTTTATTTGTTAAATCATGTATGTTCACAAAACATCAAATGTTATTTTACGCAACTTTATTAAATTCACCTAGATTAATAAATTCTCTAAAAATATTGTTCTTTGTTATTTCTATCATGACAAGAGTTTAGCATGGGACTGGATATGACAATGTAATGCCGTGATCAGACTTCACAATATCAGTCCGATTTTGGCTCAGTTTGTTTTACGTATAGTGTGATGCATAAACGACAGTTTTATCTCGTATAGCGGACGACAACCAACACCATGTCTGCAATGCTTCACAACGTCATGACAGAAAGACTAGCATGTTTTTTTCGGTCCTCCTCGACGAGTTCCGTCACATCTGTGACATTGACCAATAGGAGCACAGCTTTCAAACATGGCAAAACGATAGAGCGACGATGGTATTGGTCTAGTCTCTTGTAGCCAAACCTTCAGGCTGACGGCAGGAGGTCTGGACTTTATTACAGCTTTTATTGGCCAAGGACCGCCCAGAGGCCGTCTGACTGACATGTAATGCAACCTATCACAGTTCACGTTTTGGGGCGTGAAAATGTAAAGTTGATGTCCCTTCAATAACAGACCGGTGTGCATCTAATAAATTATTCATTCAAGAACTTTGTGCAAGTTTACTGCAACAATTCACATACTTTTGAAAATCCAGCGTTTAGTTGATCCTGGTAAGCGCTCATTGTAACAGTTGTAAACACGCCGCTTTGTTGATGTTGTTGATATGTTGATACATTGTTCAATGTTCAAAGCATCGTTTCCCACGATTTTAATTCCTGTGTAAATGCATTTATGCCGCTTCAGAGAAGCATTCAACACTCTGTGAAAATGCCCATTTTCTTAACTTTATCCCGCTTCAGGATTTATGCCTTAAGACTTGTAGCATGTTGAGTCGATTAATTGATTCGTTGATTAATTCAGTGTGATTCTGACAATTTAACTCAAACTGTACATTAAAAGGATCATTTGTAAATGCATGCAGTGATTTGTTGATGCAACGAAGTAGGCTACTCTTTGGTGAATACAAAAGGAAGGAGACATGATTGTTCATAATTCATAATTCTGTCATGTATGTTATAGAGCGTAAAAATTTGATTTATTCTGCCGACGTGCAGAACTTTCACACTCACAGTCACCTAATCCTCTAGAGGACATCTTGTATAAATATGCCCTACTTTCCAAACAGTACGAGTTCTTAGTCACATTGGCCCTGTAATGATGCCGTAAGGGTTGCCGTTTCCTGCGTTCCATGAGCTCGGCGTGACTCTAAAGCCAATATTAATGAATCCTAATGCCTCTTGAGAGTTTCCTTAATATCACGTGACCTGCAGTTACCTGCCAGCCTTTCCCAAGTTGGCGTTCCAGTGAAATAACAGCTACAGACGTCGTTAGTTTGATCTAGATTTCATATGAAAACTAAACTCAAGTAGCCCCCCGATGCCAGCTTAAATCTGTGGAGGCAGACGTGAATTGATGGGGTGTGAGAGTTGGGTACCAGCGCTGTCTGATGGTCTCCAGCTGCAGTACAAGCAAACTTGAAATCCCCAGGTTCCTCTGTAAGGCCAGGGCTGTTGTATCTGCGGTGTCACGCTTCTCTACGCCTCCAGGTCCCGTAGGACCCTGGGCCCGGGCCGAACTCTCTTTTTCTGCAGGCTGAGGAGCCTTGGGAGTTCGTTCCACAAAGCTTATCACATACTCTGCTCATTTTTCAACCCCACCTTTACAACCACAGCTGGGCTAGGTTGACGGGAGGACAGAGGGGCCGAGTAGTACAGGCTGTGTTTGAGTCGGTTCCACTCAGCCTGGCACGAAAGCCTGGCATCGATCATTTGAGCCACAGGTATGCGTACACTCCATCACCCTCACAGGGCCCACATGCAGCATACCAACACTCTAGGGCTCAGAGCCTCTGTGCTGACTACCTAGAGTACCGCTTTAAAGATCTACATCTAAAGTCGCTCATTCCCTTAATAGGTTAGTTTGCCCTCCTTTTAGAATGTGTGTTCCATTTGCAATATTGTAGTGCGTCAAATTGTTTGCCTTGGTCCCCTTTTCCTACTTTTTTATGTTATAAACAAGACAATGCCTAGTCTGGCGATGCAAGTTGTAGAAACTCTATTAGCCTATATATATATTTTACAGCATGCGCAAATGCTGGAGTAAAAACCTAATAATTGGTTAACCTTTCAATTACATTACAATATGTATGCTAGAAAAAGTACAAATGGTGTAATGGTGCAAAAAAATCTATAAATGACATTCCCAGAAGTTTCTGCGTGTAAATAAAAAGTTTCATTTTATTTAAATAGTTTCTCATATACATTATTGCTTTTTTTTTTTGGTCAGTAAGTTCCATCACAGGAATAAATTACAATAAATTACATTAGATACAATTACATTAAAATATATTCAAATAGAAAACTGTTATTTAAAAATGTAATACTTTCACAATATTGCTATTTTTTTAATCAAATTAATGCAGCTGTGGTGAGCATGCTGTGGTGAGCATAAGAGGCTTCAAAAATACTTTTAAAATCTTACCGTCCCCAGGGTTAAAAAATTTTTTTGTCCATTTATTCCATTATTTTAGTGTCGTGCGTTGCCCTGATGGTGTTTTGTGTTTGTGTGTATGACCCTGTCTATACTCTGAGGAAACTATACTATTTTCCTGATTGGGTGATTCAGCAAAATTAGACTTACCACATGCAT